AAGACGGAGCTATACAAAGGCTCCCGCAGCTGCCACCTACTCTTCAAGCAGGAATTGTGAATCCAGGAGGAACCCCACGTTGCACATGGAATCTGAATGAGGCAGTGCAACCCCATCCAGATGTAAAGATGAAGTTTTGGGTTCATTCAGTTCTAGGATCCTTGGATCCCTAAACCCATAGCTACTCAGTCTTGAAGGTGCAGAGTCAAAGCCTGCTCTTCCCCATCCAGACCTCCACAGCCTTTAGACACTAAGATAGAATCTTAACAGCTTCGCTTGGATGGCCAGGGACAGAAATGTACAGCTGAGTATCATCAGCATATTGATAATACTGCACTCCATGCTGACCAAGTGTCTTCCCTAGAGGCTTCAGGTAGATATTAAAAAGGTGAGGGGAGAGAGTGGCACCCTGAAAAGCAGGGGTCTTGAACTAATTTGCTCCCCCCTCCAAACACTGACTGGAACTTGCCCTGGAGGAAGGAGAACCACTGTAAAACAGTGCCACTCATTCCCAGTCCCCTGAGCCAGTTCATGGTATCAAAGGCTGCCAAGTGATCAAGGAGGGCTATGATGGATGAACTACCCCCATCCCATGCCCACTAGAGATTATCAATAATCATGACCCAAGACAATATCCCAGTCTAAATCCTGACTGGAAGGGCTCCAGATAATCTGCTTCCTCCAGAGCCCTCTGCAGCTTTAGACCATTTACCTTCTCAACAACATTATTATTGTTGGTTGCACAGTCAGCCAGATTTTAGACTGGATTTGGCATTTTTATTCACCTACTGAGTCCTTCCCAAGGACCTGGGGTAGGCAGATGTTGTTTGATGGTGTTAAAGGTATTGTCGCAGGATGTAAGTTGTTCCAAGCTGCCTTTTGCAATTGACTGAGGGTGATTTTGTCAATGCCGATGGTGTTCAAATGGTGCTCCAGATGTTTTGGGATTGCACCCAAGGCCCCTATTGCTATTGGTACTATCTTTGCTTTCTTTTTCCACAGTCATTCTACTTTTATTCACCACCACATGGTTCTACCCAAACATCCCTTCCCTAGAGGATTTAACTAACCAGGAGGAGCATGGATCCAAAACACAGGTGGCCATGCCTAGTCCCTTTTGTATTAAAAAAAGTTGGTGGTTACTATTAGCAAGCATGGACTATCAGGCTCCCTACAAGAAACATGAATTTGCCTGAAGCTTCTCAGAAACTTGAAATAGCACTACTAGAACAAAACCTTTACTGAAATACCAGAACTGTAGATATTGCTATCAGTTCATAGCCTCTGGCAACCAAAGTTGATTCCCAACCCAATATTCTCTTGATTTTAAACTGGTGTCCTCTTTTCCCACATTTTCCACTGATGAACAGCAAACTGGCCTTACATTTCCCACATTCAGACCTAAGTGGCAGTTGCCTATTTACATTTTTTGAATTCTTGCTCCTTGAAACTTGCTCCTAATATAATCCTGACATGGACAGGCTATTCATACTTGTGACCTTGCAGATAAAACAAGACAGTAACTGACTTGTCCTAAGTTATCTCCCTCCTCCTCTTCTTTTTTTAAGTAGCAGGAATATGCAACCGTTTTTGTTGTTGTTGTTCCATCAGAACGCTCAAGCCATTTTCAGGCATGCTCTGTCATGTAACAGCCAACCTGGATTGTTCTAACGAAGTTTCTGGGGGTGCTCTTGTACTCCTAGCTAGGAACAAAATTTATTTTTGTAGCCATCCTGAAACATACATACAAGGCCATATAGTTTAACTCTTTAATTTTTTTTTCTACACTATGGTCTTATTGCATTAACTCATTATGGTAATTCAGAAATTAATTCAATTCAATAGGAATTTCCTAAAGGTAAATGCATATAGTACACAATAAAAGTAACCTTGTTTAGCACCTCTCTGATACGTTGGGGTTGCAACTCTCAAAATTACTAGCCAGGATATTTGAAGACCCTGACAGCTGGGAATTCTAGGAGGTAGCACTCACAATATACACAGAAGACAATATTCAACAATGGTAAATAAATTCAACAATGTAATTATTTTGATGCACACGAACTCAGGAAAACTTATGGAATATGGATATCTTATGGAAAACATTTATGCCTTAAAACATAAATGTCTTAAAACAATTTCACAAATTATTGTATTACTATGCTTTGTTTCCCAAGTAGATGCAGTGTAACAAAA